TTTGTGGGCTCCAATACAGTGTGGTTGTTGCATATTCACCCCAAAACTGAGTTGCCTTTGGGGTTCACTGTATGGTATGCATTGATAGTCTCACAAATTAGATTTGCTCCTGTCATGTTTAGTTTCTTATTTGTAGCTAGTGTCAAGCTGGGTTTGATTTTGTCATTTTTGTTTCTGCATGTATTGTATTTTTTATATAAATGTACTTTTATAATTTCATGATGTAACTGAAGGATGATCAAATGAGGTATTTTGCACCAAGGTATCCAAGGCCTTGTCTGCCTTTAATGGGGAAATCAGCTCCTCTCTAGCAAACGTATCTGAGAGTACAGGAGCAAACCATCCTGATGTGCAGGAAGAGTAGCAAGTATAGCAGCAGAAAAGCTTGGCTTGGCAGGGAAGTTTTCAGTAAACAAAATCACAAAAAGGAAGCTTATAAGAAATAAGCTAGGGAAGCATACAAATAACTAGAGAAGAATATGAGAGCATTGCTCGGGCATGCAGGGATGAAGTCAGGAGAGCCAAAGCGCAATTGGAGTTGCAGCTAGCAAGGAATATGAAGGGTAACAAGAAGGGTTTCTATAAGTATGTTGGTAGCAAGAGGAGGATCAAGGAAAGTATGGGTCCCTTACTGAATGGGGGAGGCAACCTTGTGACAGAGGATGCAGAAAAGGCTGCAGTGCTCAGTGCCTTTTTCTCTACAGTCTTCACAGGCAAGGTCTGCTCCCAGACCACCACTGGGCAGCACAGTTTGGGGAGGACATGAGCAGACAACAGTAGTGGAAGAACAGGGTAGGGACTATTTAGAAAAGCTGGATGTATACAGGTCCATAGGGCCAGATGGGAGAGTGCTGAGGGAGTTGGTTGATGGAATGGCCAAGGGTGCTGAGGGAGTTGGTTGATGTGATTGCAGAGCCGCTGGACATCATCTTTGAAAACTCATGGCAATCAGGAGAGGTCCCGGATGATTAGAGAAGGGCAAACATAGTGCCCATATTTAAGAAAGGGAAAAAGGAGGATCCAGGGAAGACCAATCAGCCAGTCAGCCTCACCTCAGTTCCTTGGAAAAAATCATGGAGCAGATCCTCAAGAAATCCATTTCCAAGCACTTGGAGGAGAAGGTGATTAGGATCAGTCAGCATGGATTCACCAAGGGCAAGTCATGCCTGACCAACCTGATTGCCTTCTATGGTGAGATGACTGGCTCTGTGGTCAAACCATGGCTGGGTTTGTTGTAGTGGTAGCAATGCAGCTATCGCAGACCTCCACTAATGTCTAGAGTATTGCAGCATTAGTTTGTTAGAGAAGTGGAAGTTATTAAAGGCCTGATGACATTTCTCAAAAGATTTCTCCTCCTATGTCCATATGATGATGTCATGTACTTGAGGTATATCAGGGGGATGAGCAGACCGAGTCGAGTCAAGTCAAATCGGTCCCAAGGCCGCTGTGACCGTTGGGGCACCTTAGATGCTCTAGCAACCCTCTTCCACTCTACCCTGCATTCAGCTAGTTTTGTGCACGAGTGGACAGCTGCAGAGAAAATAGACTTCAATGTCTAAGTGAGCTCAGGCTTACAAAAGTTCATTTTATACCTCTCTGCTTTAGTTAGTCTGTAAAGTGCAAATCTACCCTTCCTTCTGCCTGACTTCAGACTAACATGACTATCACTTCAGAAGGACAGTTTTACTGTTACTGTAAGAATGAGAAAGACCTTAGGAGAACTGGGGGGGTGTGGGATATTGGAAGGATCACAAGACAAGGAAGTGTATTTCTTTTGCAATGAGTGAACTGCGGAACACTTGCGTGAGAATAAAAGGAATGTATATAATATTTTCTGCTATGTTAAATTTTTTCTTTTACATTAAATTTGCCAAAAGGAGAAACTATACTGTCCCTTGCTTTCAGCAGCAGCACATGATCCTGACTTGGGTTTTGGAGGATCATGAGGAGGAATTAAAGGTTTTTAAAATGAGTAGTGTATAGTGGGGAAAACAAAAGGAAGAAATTAAAATATAAACCTTATTTCTAGCTTGCTTCTGCACTTGACTTGCCACTGCTTCGTATTAATCAAGCAAACAGCCCTGATCTCCTCAGCGTGTCTCAATATTACTCTGGCGAGTTGGTATCCTATGTAAGAAAGGTAGGTATTTGCTGGGATTAAATTGTTTAATTCTTGAATTGCTTTTCATAAAACTTAAGGTTTTGTTTTAACTCAGAATTGCTTACTTCTATGAAGGTCCTGCAGATCATTCCAGAAAGCATGTTTACCTCCCTTCTCAAGATTATAAAGCTTCAGACGCATGATATAATTGAAGTGCCTACTCGCCTCGACAAAGAAAGGCTACGAGATTATGCTCAGCTCGGACCACGATATGAGGTGCAGTTAAACTTGGGAGCTCTGAAAAGCAGAATTTATAAGGGCCAAATTCCAATGTGGTGTAAGTAAGCACAGTTTAGTGAAAAACACCTGTATCACTAGTGGTGAACATGTCCACTAAGTAAGACTTAAAGCCGACCTAGTTTTGTAATGAGCAGTTTCAAGCTTTACTGCCAACTTCTCCAAAAACTCAAGAAGGGAATAGACAACATTTTAATGAGCCAGTGATCTTGGATCACCTTTGTAGTGAAAAGGCAAATCCCAGACATTAAGACCACTATAGGAGTTGGTGCCCTTATTCAAAATTGTACCTGAGACATCAAGGGCTGAATAAGCCAGCATGACCATGCCACCCTCTGTTCCTCAGAAGTGGAGGCAAGATCAATGCATGGTGATTTTGTGACAGAAAGGAAAACATATTCTGGATGTTGGGTTATGTGTTCTGGGGCTATAGGACTTCCTTTACCACTGCTGTCAGTCTGGAAACTTTCACAATAAATTAAAATTCATTTTCTCCTTGAAATAAAGGGGGGAAGAGGGAGTGCACAAGCAAACTTCTTTCTTAGCACTTTCAGGGATACTCAGAACTATATTGTTCCAATAGTGTCTACCAACACTCCTGAGTGGGACTTCCATGTGCAAACAGCCAGCATACAGACTAAAATCTAGGTACCTCATTAAGTCACTGCAGTTATTTGAGATTCTCTCAAAGACTGGCTGATGTCTGAAACCTGCGTTATTCTTTCTTAAATTATTTTAAATACTGCATGCCAGATTCAGATCTGTACCTGGAACAGACATTTTTTCTGAAACCCTCCTAATGCCTTTGAAGCAGACCGAATAGTGAGTATACAGACATTTCCAGCCAAAGAAGCACTTAAGAAATGGCCAAAATGCTTAAAAAATGATCCTCAGAAAAGGAAGGATGTTGTTGAAGTGATTCCTGAAGTGTCTGCATGCTCCAAAGTGCGACATGTCTGCAGCCTGCTTTTTTTCTACTTAGAGGCTTGTAGAGGAAGTGTGGGACAGAAAAGGTGGAAGTCAGGAACAGGCAATTGTGGGATTGCTGCTGTCAGAACTTGGTTAAATTACAAATACAGAAAAGAGCTCAGGAGCAGCAAATCAGAGGCATACCTGGAAGTTCAGCAGAGTTTGCAGGCTCAGACTGCCAGTGGGGGTGAGCCATAGAGATTTACAGCATAGGTGGTCAGCAGGTATGAGCTTCGGGGGGACCCTATCATTGTAGACATACCCTCACATAAATGGCATTCTACACATAAATAGTAAAAAGAGCCAGACATCTACTTGCCATTTATGCCTTTAGGAAATTGGTACCCTGTTTTTCCTTAAGCCTCGAAGGCTACGAACAGATGTTACTTTTGTCTTGGGGGAGAGACTTTTGTTCCAGGATCTTACGGGGACACACATCCATTGTCCTGCTTCAAGTTCCTCTGACATATACTGGATAAAATGTGCTGCCACTTTTTCCCCAGGCATCCTGTTGTAGCTCTGTGTGGTTATTGTGGTTCATCTGAGGGATAAGCCTATCAGACTGAGTTATCCCACTGGCCAGCTACTGGCGAAGGAGCAGCAATGCAGCTTGGAAGCGTAGTGTGTGTAAAGGACAGTGCTGCTGCTATTTCGATCTGGGTCAAACCCTGGGACAATCAGTCCTAGGTCAAACGAGACATCTGCTGATAGCTTAAGAAACACCTTTGGTTTGTTCTCTTGCTGTTTAAAATGCCAACCTGAATTTGTGGTAGAAAAACTCACACTGTTTGGGTGTATGGATAGGGTAATGTATAATGTTAAAACCACAAGTTTAAAGCATGAAAGGAAGTTTGTAATAAAAAAATAAGTTTGATGTGATGATTTTTGCAGTGCCTTTTACTTAAATCACTGTTTGACTCTAATGAATTGTATCCTCTTCCTTTCTCTGAAGGTTGCCAAGCTAACCCATGCTATTTCAATTTTCACGGAAGGTATTCTTATGATGAAGACTACTTTAGTTGGCATCATCAAGGTAATGTTATATGTTAAAGTGAATTAAATAAATGCAAGGCTGGTAGCATTTACCATTTACCATTTACCATTTATTTAAGCATAAAAAATCTATGCTTGTGCGTAATTCTGAGGGGAAAACAGAAGTAACAGCAAATAATTTAACTGAAATTTTCAAACTTTGGTACCTAGCTTTGGGAGCTGCACTCCGCTAAATCCCCTAAGTCAGGGTTATTAAAGACATATTTATTGTGCAAATGCTTTTCATATTTAATGTTACCACAAAACTTTTTTTTTTTTAATTTTCTTCATCTGAAGAGAAACCGTTCTTCCTCTATTATGGCATCACTAATGATACCATTTTCAAGACAGTAGATACTTTTTAATTGTATTTTACTATGTTTCACATATTACCTGCCCCTTAAATCATACTGTATGAGTCTAAGCAAAGTTTGAACTTAGGACATGCACTTCTCCAAGGTGTTGCATAGTCCTTTTCTATAGCTTAAGTAATTACTTTTTAAGGAGAATCGGTTTCCTAGAAAGATAGTGTGCTTTTATGTGTTTTTTAGATGAATTATTTTTTTGGACTTTCTTGGAAAAAAATATTTCTTTTACCTAGGTGGATCCAAAGCAGTTGTTAGAGGATGGAATAAGGAAGGAGCTAGTAAAACGAGTAGCTCTGGCTCTTCACAGAGGACTCATCTTTCACCCTAGAGCAAAGGTGCCGTACAGTTAGATTTGATTTTGTTACATTCCATTCAGGAACTTAACTGGACTCTCTTGCCCTGGAACTTTTTAAAAATAATGTCTAGCACTATGAACCAAGGTTTGTGTATTGTATATACGAGTACACCTTTGAACTTCTTAAGGGTACAGTAATTTAAAATGCTTTATTTGAAATTAAAAAACAGCTAACTTAGATGACAAAACAAGAGAAGTGATGAAGGTAGATATAATTAACAGAAAGGGAAAAAAAATCCTCCTTTCTTCATTGCTGAACTCAGGATTGGCAAGTATTGTGTTTTCCTGTGACAGGTGGCAGTGATACACATAAGCCAGTTTAAAGAGTATCTAAGAAATACAGTTCCCTGAGCTCTAAGTACTAGTCATGTACTCAGCTTCACAGACATAGAAGCTCGGCGCTGCACATGAGCCTTGGAAATTTGAAACATTTCTGTTTATGCTATAATCTTTGTTAATGACCCAAGACCTCAAATAACCCTTGATAAGTTGTTTTTTGGGGGTTTTTTTAAGTATTTTGGTTCAGGGCCTCCTATGCCATGTGGATGGGCACACAGTGAAACCTTAACTAGATCAGGGCTCTGCCTGTGATAGGTTGATTCCCATTATAGCAGTTAGGAATATTAATCATTGCTATTCCTTTTGCATCCTGCATCTCCTGGACCTGTAGCCTTTTTTTTTCTAATTACCCTTTCTACAGCCAAGTCAATTAAGACCAAAACTGAAAGACATGGCAGCTACAATGGATGGGTACCATCGATCTTTTGAGTACATTCAGGACTATGTCAACATTTATGGTTTAAAGATTTGGCAAGAAGAAGTGTCTCGCATTATCAACTACAATGTAGAACAGGAATGCAACAACTTCCTAAGAACAAAGGTACAAACATGCTGCTTATTCAAAAATTGATTAAGAAAGCTCATAAGTGTCTTTAAATTTGGTTATAGTGCCTGTCAGTGAACATACATGATGGATTATGTCTGCTCCTGCCAGAGAAAATTACACGTTATCATTGTACAGTAAAACCTCTGTTATCCGGCATCCCCTGGGAATGGCGGATGCTGGATAACAAAACATGCCAGTCAATTGAGTGGCCCGGGCCACCACTTCTCCCACCACATCTGGGGCGTCCTGCTGCCCCTCCTGCGAGCCCCACGGGACAAGAAGGCGGGCCCCACACAGCCTGCTATGCCCCTGGGCTGTGGGGGCTAGGCAGCGCAGGCTGCTTTGCCCCAGGCCATGGGGGCTTGGAGAAACCAGAAGTGCCACGGTGGAGAAACCGAAGTGCCACCCCACCCTCTAGATCTATTTTTTTTTTCAAAGTTGCTTGCCTTTGTTCATGAAAGCTCTGTTCTTTCCTTCTCTTTTTCTTTTGCGTAATCTTCTATTTTCTGTTTTTAATTAAGAATTCTTTTGAAGCCAAGTTGAAAAGGGCTGAGGGTAATGTTTTAAAATTATTCTAAAATGTTTTTCAGATCCAAGACTGGCAGAGTATTTACCAGTCTACTCATATTCCAATCCCTAAATTCACCCCTGTAGATGAATCGGTAACATTTATCGGTCGGCTTTGCAGAGAAATACTGAAAATCACAGACCCAAAGTGAGTATCAGAAGTCATAAACTGCATCATTCCAATCTCTTTGAAGCGCTAAAAAATGTTCTCCCTTGAAATAAATACATATTTTGCTTGTTATCTTTTCTTTGTCACTATCATCATCCAGTGTTTAACTACTAAGAACAAAAAATCATCCAGTACCTTTAAGATTAGTCTAGAATACCTGATTGAGGTGGTGGTTGTTGGTTTTGGTTCAATTTTTACCAAAAATGTTATAACGTGTTAGCCAATTGGGGTCATATGAACTAAATAAAGATGACAACCCAGTGAAGAGGAGAGCACTACTAGTTCACTGCAGCTGTTTTCTCCAACATTTATCAAAGTTAATTTCTTATTATAAAAATATCCCATAGTTTTTCCTAAGATGTTATTTGTGTTTAAATTTTCTTTTAGAGTCACGTGTTACATTGATCAAATGAACACATGGTATGATAACAAAACTCACCTGGAGGTAACCAACAGCCGCCTCTTCTCAGAGATCCAAGACACTTTAGGCACCTTTGGTCTGAATGGTTTGGATAGATTGCTCTGTTTCATGATTGTGAAGGAGCTGCAGGTAACCTTTGAGTTTCTACTTTATTCATGAATGTTGAGTTTTACTGCCCAGTAATATTTTTAAAGGAATAACCATTTTGATTGATCTGTCACTTTAAGTGTCTTGCCAATCCTTTTATAAAAGTTTCGCATAAAAAAAATTGAGCCCAAATGTTCATTTTTTCACATACAAAAAGCCCTCAGATTTGAAACGTTAAAAGTTGTTCTAGCTGCTTCTTCCCCGTAAATTGCCCATTTAATCTACTGTTTAACCAGCACTCACTCAAAAGGAGTACAGTTTTCATGGCCAGGTGTAGGTTAATGGGGACTGTATGCCTGTATAAAGAGCTAGATGATTTATGCCTAGAGTGGTGTATTTTCTTTCTTTTTTTATTTTTACCTAACATAAGTAAGAAAGTATCCATTCTGTATAATTCCTTTTCTGACCAAGTCAGCACTTGAAACACAAACTTTGTTTCATGACTCTAAAACGGCTTAAATGAATGCTATATTCTGGGAAGAAATAAAAGAGACAGAGTATAGGTGAAGTGGTTTTTGCTTAAATGTGAAATGAAGTAAGCACATGGTTGATGCCTTCTATATTAATCACTGATGCAAGCATCAGGCTACCATCATAGTACAAAATAACAGTTAGTGAGAAACATACAGATTCATGCTGGAATTATTCAGCTCTGTGTCTCAGAGAGATTTCCTACCCTGCTCCTGTTCTAATAATAAAATTGCCATTGAACTCACTACAATAAAGCATCCTGCATGCTACCAGGATAAAGCATCAGTCTGCATGTGTTTCTTTTTAGAATTTCCTCAGCATGTTTCAGAGACATATACTCAGGGACAGAACAGTACAGGAAACATTAAAAGCTCTTATGAATGCTGTCAGTCCAGTCAAAGGAATTGTAGGTAAGTACCTGAGATGTAGACTTCAAGAAAGCTATTGTTAAAGGATCTCCAGGTATGCTTACTTATTTTTATGTTTTGCCACAGCAAACTCTAGCAAAATTTATTCTGCAGCAGTTGCCAAAACTCAGAAGATCTGGGCTGCATATCTGGATGCCATAATGAAGGTACAGTTGTTTAAAGAATTATGAGTTACTATTGTACAAAGTGCACATCAAGTCATATGATCTCTATTACATATTTTAATCTAAAAGTTGAATCTGCAGTTATCATACATCCCCTTGTGTACCTCTAACGCATTATAATGCATTGAGCAAAACTGGACCTGGGCAGCGCAGGGGTGGAAGATCTCTAAGTAACCCAAGAAGATGTATAGTATGATAATAGTACTTTTAAATGATTGTAGTTGTATTTCCAAAGTAATGCAGGGGAAAAGAAAAGAAACCAAGCAGTTATTTTGTCCCCTTGTGAACATTTATGATAGTTAGGCAATATTTCAGCATTTGGAATAAATGACACGACAATGAGATTGGATGACATGCACAACTGGTTGGATCTCGTGTATCAAATTTCTTTTTGCCTTGTCTTCTTTCTGCTATCTTTGTATATCCCCAGGCAGTACACAGCACAGCTTAAGTGCAGGATCAGAGTTAGGGGGAAAATGGTCCTTCGTACTTTCACTGTGTTAAGAAATGATCCTCTGCATAGGAACACTCTCAAATCTTATCAGGTTTCTATCCAAAGCTGTTGTGTAATGTAGCTGCTTTGCTGCATCAAAAAAATTATAGTTAACCTAAAAGATGGTATAATTTTAGTGGTAGACAAATGCTTGATAAAATAGTATGTATTATAAATTAATGCATTAGTTTAGCAAACATTTGCCCATCACAGAAATGGTATGTGTGTGTATGAGTGTCTGTTTTTTGCATATATATGATTCATTTGTGGATATATAATAAATATATAAAGCAGTTAAGTCCCCCTCGATATACAGCCTTATACAACTGTAAATTGTTACAATCAATCTTTTTTTTTCATTGTTTTGAAAAAAAAAAATTGTTAAACTTCTTGTTTTCATGGTATTTTTTTAACAGGTTGGTCAAATGCAGATTTTAAGACAACAGATTACCAATGAATTAAATTACTCCTGCAGGTTTGACTCCAAGCATTTGGCAGCTGCTTTGGAAAATCTCAATAAGTAAGAAGCAAAATTCATTGAAGAGCAGCCTGTATCATTGCAATGTTAATTGTTGTGACACGAGCTAACTTGAGGGAAATGAATCCAAATGCAGGCTAAGTTTTTAAATTTCAGATTCAGATAAAATTCAGGAATAAAATCATTCAACGATCAATGAAAGGATGCCTTTTAATGTCTTTAGCATGTGAACATACCTAAAACTCCAATCGGATTTGGAAATAAAATCAGTCAAATTGTATAAAATTCACCAAATTCTACACTTTTATTTACCCCTTCTTATTGGACAGCTCATGGCATGTGCTGTGCCTGGAATACAGGGGTGCCTATACATGAGCGCAGAGGCTACTCCAGCGCGCTGGAATTCCAGCACGTCAGAGCAGATTTGATTAATTGAGTCTGCTGGAGCATGGCAATTGCTGCATTCCAGCGGCTTTCTGTGTGTTGTATAGCATTGAACAAGTTTTAGTTCAAGCACATCCACCGCCATTTTTAAATGCGGGGATGCTGATATACAAGATGCAGTGGCACTTTAATTAAACCAGCTCTCGAGCTTCTCTAATTAAAGCACTGCCCCCCACACACGCACACCTGTGGAGCACATGTAAAAGTACCTAGTAAAATGGGCATCCAAAAAAATTAACAGCAGTATTTATTTTATTATTGTTGTTCTTATCAATTTCTAAAGAAAACTTTTGTAGGAAACTTGTTTCTTCGTGTTAGCAGGATTTCTCTTTCTCAACTGAAATGTATAGTATTAGCCTTGAGGATGATATAGAGGCATAGAAATTGACGAGGAAAAATTTGAAAAATTGGGATTATTTAGATGAGAGAGTAGACGGGATTGGATAAATGCAGAAAGGAGTGTCATAAAGAAGATATTTGTTATGTGTGCCTATGGGGGATGGGGCAAAACAAGAAATAATGGACTTAAATGACAGCAAGAGGATTTAGATTGGATGCTGGAAATAAATTTCTATCTATGAGGGTGGTGAAGTACTGGAAGGGATTATTGTGAAATCACCATCACTGGAAGTTTTTAAAGGCAGGTTAGACAACCATTTGCCTGGGATAGTTTAGAAAAGGATGATTCTGCTGTGAACAAAAGGTTTGAAGGAGTTGGATTAGATAATGTCTTGAGATCCCTTCTGGCCTTAGTTTTTCTTTTACTATCACAATTGAATTAACCACTTTCAAATCAAAATGTCTCTCTTTGGCATTTAGAGCAGTCTTGGCTGACATTGAAGCCCATTACCAGAATCCATCATTGCCTTACCCAAAAGAAGAAAACACACTTTTGTATGAAATCACTGCCTATCTAGAAGCAGCAGGCATTCGTAACCCATTGAATAAGGTCAGAGTCATACTTTCCTGTGAGATCTGCCAATGTGTCAGATTATGACCAAAACCATTTTATTGTTGTTATCTTTCCAGAAAACTTGAATTTGGTTAGCAATTGTTCTTTTATACATGTATTTGTGTGTGTGTGTGTGTGTATATATGTGTGTATATATATATATATATATATATATATATATGTATTTTATTTACTTATTCTAATATTATAAAAGCCTAAGTCTTTCTTTAATGCTTTATTCACGCTCTGATTGGCTGATGGAAACAGCCAATCAGAGTGCTCCAAGCATGGGGGAGCGCTGCCATAATTCTGAAGCTGCGCCGAGGACCAGACAGCATGGGGCATTAGGTGGCGGCACTCCGTCCCTCCTTTCCTTCCCCCCGCGCCCCGTCATTCTCGACGGGCGATTGGCTAGTATAAGATAATACTTATGCATAAATGCATTGTGTATATAATATATATTTATAAAATATACAGTGTGTGTGTGTGTGCGCACGTATACATGTATATATATTCTGACACAAACAAGCTCTGTGGTGTTTTGTGTTTGTCTTCAGCTATTGCAGATACAAACATGTTAATCTGCTTTTATGTTAACTATGTAAAAACTATTGTGTTTTCCTTTCCTTTCCAGATATACATAACAACAAAGCGGCTGCCTTATTTCCCCTCTGTCAACTTTCTGTTCCTGATTTCCCAGTTGCCCAAACTGCAATATAACAAAAATCTAGGTATTATATGAATTGCTGTTATATAAATAGAACAAGTACATTTAAGTGTATACAAACTTTTCATATCCTCACTTTGGCTTCTGACAGATTCACTATCCCATTTGTAACTTACAATTTAGGTGTACTTTTTCAAATATGATAAAGTGGTATGAGACTGGTTCCTAAATTTTTAGTCATATCTTTATGCACAAAACCAAGCTCAAGAAATAGAATATACAAGATCCAGGTGCTTGATGCCCAACTTGCAGTACTGTTCCTCATTTCATGCAGTTAAATTATTTGCTGTGAAAAAAATATGGATTGCCACATTTGTTTGTAAGGAATCTGTATAATGAAGAAGAACCCAGATCATTCATATCTGGGGCGCTCACAAGTTACTTAGTTCAAAACAGGTTGCTGCATTAAGAAATAGTTGTTCAGCTGTTAACTGTGGCTTTTGCATCAAAGTACACTGTTTCTCCGATCAAGTAGAGTTCATCAGTCATTCCACACAACTCATCTAAGAAACAGTACTGTAAAAGCGGCAAACAGGTGTAGCATCTTAGTAGTGCACCTCCATATACCCCCAGAGGTCCCTTGTGAGGCACCAAACGTGAGGCAGAGCTTTCAGGATTTGGAGTGGCTGGGCTTGGATTTGACTTGAAGGATTTGATACCCCCAATATATGCATGTCTGATTCAGTTAGTTATAAGTTCCATCTCTTCCCTGCCTTTTGCCTAACTTCAGACTAACATGGACTAACCTCTGCTCATGAAAAACAAGCAAAGGCCTGATATAAAGCCTTTTGTGAATATAAACCATAGTTTAGCTCTGATATTAAGGATGTGTTCTGCTTTATCAAAAAGAGGGGAAAATGTTTTGTTTCCATATAGGAGTAGTGTGCAGAAAGCCAGCAGACCAAATTGACTGGCTCCCGTTGGTGCTTGGGCTCCTCACGCTGTTGAAACAGTTTCATTCACGATACACGGAACAGTTCCTGGCTCTGATTGGTCAGTTTATTCGCTCAACGATGGAGCAGTGCACAAGGTATGGAGTTCTCACTTTTCTTACTGCTTATTTTGTTAGGCTTCAAATTAACTTTTGCAGTCATTTTTAAGAGTATGCCTCTTCGTAATTCAAGTGTTACATCAAAGTATGCCATTCTTGTAAAATTGCAAAATATGTTGACCAACCTGAATAAATAGCTTAGCACTTCCTAATATTTTACTTATGTAAGTAGCTGATCAAAACCACCATGTCTAGAGGCCTGAGGTTCATTAATGTGTATGTGTTAATAATAGCCAGAAGATACCAGAAATGCCTGCCGATGTAGTGGGTGCCCTTATGTTCCTGGAAGATTATGTTCGTTACACAAAGTTACCCAGAAGGGTAAGTAAGAGAACTCTGATTTCAATTTGGGACTTAGAGGAGCATTAATACTAATATAAGAGGGATTGACATAAAAGCCAATTAAATAACACTGGTTTTTACACTAAGTGAGGATATGGTGAATTTTCTACTGTTAGTCTAAGATACCTGTGTGTCAACTTGTATTTTATGTTTAGTCCTTACATTTTCCTGTCCTTAGTTTTTAATGGAAATCTAGAGTTGGGTGATCTGCATAATAGATTGTTTTCCTCCCTTTAGGGAGGACTCTGCACATTTTTATCTGTTCTACTGACTTACACGGTTAAAAGAACTAAATCTGCTTTATGCTGTTGTGTGTAGTAGGTGTTATTTCTAGCAGTTTCCTAATATTCATTTGCTCTGGACCAGGAATTGTGAATAAGTTGCACTGAGTCCTCCAAGGGCTTGTCTGTGCTATGACAGTGGCTGGTCCTGCTGAGGATGGGACCAAGTATATCCCAAACCTCTAGGCACACTCCAGATCCCAAAGTAGATCTGTGGAGCTACTCCAGGCTCATGCCTCTGCACCCACTCTCCAGCACTTGGGCTTTGGCATGCCCAAGAGCAGCCACTGGGGGCAAGCCTGAACTAGCCTTGCGGAAGAGCTTTCAGGCTTGGATTATGAACACCAGTGTGGGTGGCTGGGTAAGCACAGGCAGGGGATGCTCAACCCCACCCTTGCCAAGGCCGGTCACTGCCTCAGTACAAGCAAACCTTGAGGTGCTCAGCACAAAGCTGCTGAAAGAACACGTAAAGCTGCTATTCAGTGGGAGTGCATCATTAGAAATCCTTTTAATTTATACCTTCGATAGGGTATGCATGTATGTCACAGACCCATGGCTTTGTATAATTGCCCTCATATCTGTTGTCATTCTCACTTACAAATGCTTATCCTTCTTATTTATGGACCCCTGGAGAAGCCAATTTGTATCCTAGAGCTGATCAAAAAAAGTGAAATGGTGGTTACAAGACATTTTTTCAGTCTTGAAAACAGATGAAATGTGGGATGCTTTGGCTTCTATCTAGAAGCAGGGGTTTATCAATATGTTCTGTACATGGCAAAACAAGCCCTCTAGTTGCAGATTTTTCATCAAGAAAATAAACAGTCTCCTCTGGCTTTTCACATGAGAAGTCATGATAATTTGGGCCCACTAAGGTTCACTTTATATCACGACAATAAGCATATTTATCCTAGTGTACAGTTACGCATTTGGCCAAACTTGTATTTGTCAAACCATTTGGTATAGATTGTAACACAATCAGCAAGATGAAAAGTTAAAGAAAGTTACTGTTCCTGAAAAAGGGCACTGCTAAGTGATGCTTGCGGGTAAAAGACTGGGGAAATGTAGGTTCAGATTCTCTCCTGTTTCAATTATTTTGTGATGCCAGCTGAGAAGTTTTGATGTTTGGGTTTGAGGAGGCAGAACGAAAATTGCTTGTGTTCCAGACTTAATTATTGAATGATGTTTCAGTGGGTTGATAGTCAGGTAGTTTAAGTTAAAAAGCCCACTGGTCTGCTCAGACTTAAACTGAGGCTATAGTTTCCCAACATTGTGCCCTTCCTTCCCCCCCCAGTTATGCATCAAGTAATCACTTCGGAAAAGAATCTGGGTCTTTAAGTATATGAAGTAGACTCTAGGTAGCTCACATAGGTCTGTGTGACCCTCCACCAATTAACATGTGATTATCTCTCGACAGTGTTTGCTGTATTTATGGCTGAATATGGCTATCAAAAATTGACTTCATTCTTCTCCATTTCTGTTAGGTTGTTGAAGCACATGTGCCTAGTTTCATTATTGATGAATTCAGGACTGTTCTGTGAACATGGAAAAAGACTGAGCCTTCCTGCAAGTCCAAAGCCACTGGGTGGGTGGGGATGTGGAAGAAAAGAGCACTTCACAACTGTATTTTCTGCGTTTTGGGGCAATATCTGTTGCAACTGTTTGAACAAAATGTAACCATGCACACTAGTCTGTATAACTAATGTTGTTTAATCACCATGGTATCATCCAGTTTCTGTCGCATCCAAACAACAGTGCCCTTTTTTACTACATCTTATAAATGCTATATGTAATTGTTTATGTATAAAATCGCTTAGTTTTATGTTCAGAAAAACTGTTTATGGACATTTGATTTTTGTATCACAAATAAAGCAATAACAGAAAGTAAAGGGCATGAATTATGTGCGCAGATGACTCTGTACCAGTTTTCCCACTCAGAACTCTCACCAAGGTGAACTCACAGCAGCGGAGGAGCCTGGGCCTGTTCTTGCACCGCTGAAGTCACTGACAACATAGGTGGGTCTCTAGTCTACCAGTCTGAGCAGTGACAGCAACCTGCACTTCTCCAGTGTCAGACTCTTATCTGGATTTAAAGATAAATGATAGTCCAACCAAAAGCTAAAAAACTTCTGTCCTTTATTTCCCACCTCCTCCACCCCCTTTTCCATTGGGGTTAGTCTTGCCATTACAGAACTATACCATCACAGCCCATTCCTTACTGGGAATCCTATCTGAGGATACTGAAGAACCTATCCGAGTCCTACCCAGTGCCCTTCCCTCTAACTCAAGGAGTTTTAACCCTTGATTTCAATGGATAGAGGATCATTTGTTTCTCCAAGCGATGTCCATATTTCTGGTGCCAGTTTGACCCTATCAAATGACCCTCTGAAACAAAACACAGTTACATTTTGTTATCCCTTATTTCAAGGCAATAAAAGTTGCTATTTCAATTCAGTACAGGTACAAGAATAGATGTATGTGATTAAGGGCTGGGGAGATTGTTATAGTGATCCTGGCCAATTAAACAGCTGGGACAAGGAGAACAGACTGTGAGGCTGTAGTTCAGCTGTTAGGTTACTCCCCTGGTTCTACATACAGGTGTTCCTTGATTTATGCTGTACAAGCGTTCCCTGAGAATGGCATATAAACCAAACCCATGGTGGTGAGAGAGAAAAGGAGGGAGTGAGGCTGGGACTAGGGCAGGGGTGGGGGGAGGGGTGCTGCTCCTGAGGCTGCACAAGGCAACAAAGCGGAGGAAACGGAGCGGCACTCACCCCAGCCCCAGCTGCAGCAGCCCTGGGAGCAGTTGCCGCCAGCTGTCTGCAGCCGCTGGGCTGCACCATGCTCCGGCTGTCCCCACT